AAGGACCGCTGGACTACTGAGCCCGCAGTTGTCAACGCTTTCTACAATCCAAACAAGAATGACATTGTATTTCCGGCCGGAATATTACAGCCACTCTTTTATTCGCAACATTTTCCAAAGTAATTCACGTTTAGTTAGTTTTAGTTATTTTTAAACAATCATATATTTGATTATCTTTCAAACAGATCATTAAATTATGGCGGAATAGGAGTTGTAAGTATTATTATCATTAAATATCTTGTCGTAATGTAATGTAATATTGAATAATTAATGTTAATTGTTATTTCAATTGTATCTGTTTAGGTGATCGGTCACGAAATAACACACGGGTAGAAAAAAAGTAATACTTGTGTTCAAATGGTTTGACAATTGTCTCATTGCTAACAGTTTCGACGATAAGGGCCGACAGTTTGATAAGGAGGGGAATTTGAAGCAGTGGTGGAATAACGCGACAATTAAGAGGTTTAGACAAAGAGCTCAATGTATTATTGATCAGTATTCCAGTTATGTTCTCGAAGATATCAGAATGAATGTGAACGGCAAAATGACCCAGGGTATTCAGCATTTTCAAAAACTATAAACATTTCAACAAATTATAGATAGTTATTATGGTGATTTAATTTAGTCAATTTTGGTACAAATTGATAGACAATAAGTAACTTGAATAAACCATCATAATACTTCATAGACTTTGTTTAAATGTTTATAATTTAATACTTTAATTTATATTCATTTTTGTAATATTTAACTTAAATATAATATTTAGGTGAGAATATTGCGGACAACGGAGGTCTTAAACAGGCTTATAGAGTGAGTTTAATTAATAGACGATTTGGTTATTATTGAATAGGTTTTAAGTTTCACTTGTTTTTTGTTTATTATTTATTTAAGGCATTTAAAAAGTGGGAACAGAGAAATGGAGTCGAACCCAGACTTCCCGGAATTGATTTAACTCACGATCAGCTCTTCTTCTTGAATTACGCACAGGTTTTACATTGTTTTATACAATAATAAACTTTTTAAT